TAATCATGATAACCATCATTTGAGTGATACTGGGGGAAACTGAGACTGAGTGGTGACCTTGCCTGAGGTCCCCCCAAGGAATCCACCCGAGGAGGGCCTGAGGTGTAAGCCTGCATCTCTTCACTCTTGGGCCATGCCATCCTGTGTGTGATGGTGTGTGTGACAGTATCCTGCCCTGGACTGACAAATAACCATGACAGCCAGCAAGGAGTCTGATTCCTGTGAAGACAGGGTGACAACAGGGGACAAAGATCAAGGTCAAGGGGAGGTGAGGGGCCTAGTCGCAGGCCCAGCCCTGCCACAGGCCTTAAGGGGCTCACCGCATCAGTTTTTTCACTTATGAAGTGGGCCTGCCTCTATCCAGGGCTGCTCTGAGGCTCTACTCAGAGGCTGGGAATCCAGGCTGCTCCTTCCTGAGCACTAGCTGTGTGCAGGCACTGTCCAGCTGATGTGCTGCTCACAGAACCCTCCCAACAGCCATCTGGAACTCCTGTGATAAATGGAGAAATGGAAGCATGGAGCATTTAAGAAACAAGTGTGTGAAGAGTAGGATTTGTGCTCCAGCTCAGCCACTGGGGGCCTGCCTCAGGTGGTGGAGGGAAAGGAACCAGGGGGCCTCTTACTATCTGGGGGGTAGCAGGGCTGTCTAGTGGACCCTCATACTCACCCTGCCCAAAGCAGTCCTGCCAAAATGGCAGCAAGGCAGATCAGGTCAGCCCAGAAGATGTTCCAGGGGCCTTCCGGCTCCAGCCAGCCTCCACTTGTACCTTGGGCATCAGCCATTTGCCTCCCAGGATGGGTGGCCCAGGCCTGGGTCCCATCTCGCACCAGCTCGGCTACTCTAGCACTTCCCTTGATGGGCCCCATTTCCTGGTCTGTACAATGATGTTGATAATCTCTTGCATACAAGGTGGTTGTGAAATTCTGGCTATCTAGTGTCCACCACGGTGCTGCCTACACTAGGGGAGGGTGGAAGCCCCAGAGGTTGGGAGAGCTAGGAGCAGTGGGGACTTGGACCCCTTCCCAGGCAGAGCTGCATGTAGGCAGCAAGACCTCAGGTGACAGGGGGTTGCACAGGGTCTCTAAGCAGCCCGCAAAGCTCCTTGTGCTTGAGCATGTGGTGGGAGCTGTGGAGTGATGACCCTAAGCCCCAGAGGAGGCCACAGGCCACAGCAGGGACTTTTGCTAGCCCCTTGAGGTTCCCTGAGGCCCACAAGATAAAGGGGCAATTGAGGGAGCCCTGAGTGCCCAAAACAGAGAAAGGGCCAGACCCACAGATGCCTCAGGATGAAGATCAAAGGAGCAGATGGTGGGAAGGGAGGACGTGGGGGAAGATGACCAAAAGGCCCCATGCTAACCTAGGACCATGGTGGGCACCACAGGCCCTGAGCCGGGGTCCAGGAGCTCTGCAAGAACCCACGACAATGTTGGCAGCCAGGGAAAAAAAAAGTAGCAGAACACTAAAAGAAGAAGCAAAAGAAAGGGAAAAGACGAAATCAAAATTAATAAAGTTTAATTAAATACCTACAAGACAAGACATTGTCAAGTAATAAACTGAACCCAACTCAAATCCGTATATATGATTTACCCTTAATGTGGAATTAGGCACATTTCATGTGTGTGATTCAGCCCCTAAAATTCAAAGTGCCAGGGGCCTGTCTATGGTCATCAAATATGCCATCTCCAAAATTTATGTGCATCCCTGGGGAAAGGAGGGATCCCTACGTTGGTTTCAGATTACCTTTTTTAGTATGTGGGAGAATGAGAAAGCAAAAGAGAAATTCAGGTCAGTGACAGAGAAATGAAGGGATGTTCCTCACACATGGTTATTTGTAAATGGAGATCCTGAGTCACTGTAGATGCCACCATGCAATGCTGTCGTCAGCCTCTTCATCCCTTGGGGGCTGGTGGGACTCATCCTACCCTCAAAGTCCCGTCGCATTTCAGCAGTTGGTTTGCCGGCCTCCCATTCTTACACACCTCTGGAGCGGACATCTGCCACCCCCTCTTCCTTCGGACCTACATGTGTTAATCATGTGACTTTAAGGAATGAAGCCAGAGAGCTGTGTTCAAGTCCAGCCCCACCTCAGCCTCACTGTATGATCCTAGGCAGGTCTCTTCATCTGTGAAATGGAATAATGATGCCTACCAGGGCTGCTGTGCAGACCAAGGAGGCCACCACTGTATGAAACACTGCTTTTTAAACAGACCAGACTGCATTTGGGGTTTGACTAACAAAACAAAACCAGAGGAAAAAAGGTTTGTGTTAAACTATGTTGAACCCTGGAGCAGGGTTTCACAATCAGCCCTTTTGAGCTATGTCTGGGGGAGGTGAATTTTTCTTTTTCCCCGTGGTCTTTTTGCTACAGCTCACCGTCTCCTTCTGCCCCAGCCAGTGGAGAGAGGTACTGGAGCTGAACTGGTGCGGAAGCAAGTTGGGGTAGGTGGTGAGCTGAGCAGGCTTGGCTCCCGGAGGCCTGAGTCAGCGGGCAGGCAGGCAGGCAGGGCGGGCCCAGTCCTCACATGCTTGGGGAGGAGATGGTGCAGGAATGTTCCTCCCGCCCAGGCCTGGGCCCTGCCCACCACCTCCTGGCTCCTGCTCGCGTAGATGCCGCAGCCTCAGCTCTGGCTCAAGAGATGGGAGATGCCTGGAGCTTTGTTGCCTGGGTTCAGCCAGGGGCCTTCAGAGGCAGCCTGGCCCAGGGGTGGGCAAGGCCAGACCACAGAGCCAGCCGAGAGCTGGGTGCTGGCCCTGGAGCATCCCCCTTCCCCACTGGGTGATGCTACTAGCTGCCACCCCTCACTAGACCTCAAGTTCCCCATCTGTGCAATGAGGAATGGAACTTGATGGTGTCAGATGACAGATGAGCCCAGCTGGCTCCCTCAGAAGGTGGTGCAGCTGCAGTCCAAGTGCAGCTACATATGTGTGACACCTTTGCTATAAGCATGTATGATATTGTGGCCGTGTGTGTTTAAATGTGTGTGTGTCGCTGGTATGGCTGTGACGATGTGGCTGAGGCTGATGCTGTGAATGGATGACAACACGTTTGTGGACATGGCTGAGTATATGACCATGCCTATGTGTGTGTGGCCAGGTGTGGCTTATGTGCCTGAGGGCAGATTGTGTGGCTGTGTGGCTGTGTCTGCTTTGTGTTGGGCAATTGTCTCTGTGACTGTGGACATGTGGATGACTGTATGGCACTTGCCATGCGATAGAGGGGCGGGGCTAAGCTGAGCCTAGAGCCACCTGCCTCCCCCAGGCCTGGCTCTGCTCCAGGTGTGGCACAGCTGTGGTACAGCTATGGCATAGTGGTTCACGGCCCTCTTGTGTCCAGAAGGTGACAGGATGCAGGACCTGAGGGCTTCCTCCATCCCCAACCCTACCATGTGACCACAAAGCAGACTTCTTTCCTGGGCTGGGCCAAGACTGGGGATCGGGGTCCCCCGACACCCACCCCCAGGTCCTGGTAGCTGACCAGGGCAGAAAGAGACGCCTTGTTTTCCAACACCTCACAGAAAAGTGAGGGAGGGAACTGGAGGCAGCTGGGCCCAGCTCAGCCTGGAACATCTGCCTGGCATGTGACTGAGGCCAGCTAGAAGGCCCTGCCACCACCAGGACACCCACCCCAACTGGTCCCCCAGTCCCCTGCTGAAAGGGTTTCTGGCTAGCCCAGACGGATCTTAAATTCTCCCAACACCCCAACCCACAGAGATAGAAAGAAACCGGGGGCCGGGGGGTGGGGGGGGACTGTGACATCCTCACTCCCCAACCACACATACGCCTCTCCCAGCCTAGAGACCTCAGGATGACTGGAGTAGGCCTGACCCATCCCAAGACATCACATTCTGATTCTTCTCCTGGGTCCAAGCCCCCCTGAGAAAACTGTCAGACCAACTTCCTCACTCTGAGGATGGGAAGAGTGGGAGGAAGGAGTACAAGAGGGTAATACTATTCCCAGGGCAGGAAGCATGAACGGGGATGGTCCAGGCACTGTGGGTGAAGAAGAGCATTCCCATCACCTCTGTGCAGACTGGCCTCAGGAAGACCTCCTCCTGTGGTCAGAGTGCCCTCTGTAGAAGGCCACCTGGAGGTCAAAGCTGAGAAGAAGTGAAGGGCAGGAAGGTCCCTGGGTGGGTTGGAAAATGAAGGATGGAGGGCAGGGAGGAGGGAGGGGAAAATTCCACAGAAAGTCCCAAATCTGACCTAATTTTGACCCAAGGCCAGAGGCCCATTCCAGAAGTTCCTCTGAGGACGCCCTGTACTGAACGGGGAGCCTTTGCTGCCCCTGACCCCATCTCACTGCCCACGAGCTCCCGGGACCCCTGGCCTGGTCAGAGCCTCCCCTGATGCCCGGACCCCAGCAGCCTTCCCTCCTCCGAGTCCCTATTGCCCTGAAAGAGAACTGTGGCTTCACCAGCGTACTTCTGTCCTGTGTATGAACATGCTCCTGTTCATCCTGCCTGGGGCACCCCCAAGGGCATGGGTGAGGGTCCTCCTCCGTTTCCCACTTGGAAGCCACTACAGGGCTGGGCACCCAAGACTGCTTGGAAAGGACAGTTTCTGAGCCCCACCCCCTCCCCTGGACAGGGCTTTCCTGGGGGCAAGACAGGGACACACCTCTGTGGGGAGAGCAATCCCCTGTGGATTAGACTGTCCTGGGCACAGCTTCCTATCCCTTCCTCATGCGACTCTCAGGCCTAGATCACTAGATCACAGAGCAGCACAGCCAACCCCCTGGCAGGACTCCACCCATTAGAGAGATGAGGCTGTGAGGTCTGGGAAGGGTGTGCATCCAGCTAGGGCCCATGGCCACCTCTAGCTCCCCAGCTAGCACCTCCCATCAGCACAGCCCTCACCCCAACTTTTGAGGTTCTGGGGTAAATTCTAGGCCCACCATGACCTCAGAATCTGGGCCAATAACTCTCAGGGACAATTAGGGTTCTATTCTTCCCCCACCCCTCATCTCCTCCAGACCAAAAGAAAAAAAGTCATACTTTTGTTATCTTAATTGTAAAAGATTTATCAAGAAAACAAGAAAGAAAGAAAAAAGATTCAAGCAGCAGTAGTGGGTGCAGCCATGACCTCCTGGGGGGGCCAGTGGTGGCACCTGTCAGTTCCCCCAACCCGCTGCTGGATCATGCCCTGGCAGGGGAGGAAGGAGTGGCCCCCTCAAAGATGTAAACACGGGTGGGTGAGAGACAGCACAACCCAACCAGGACCTGGCTGGCATCACAGTGCGGCTGGCTGTGGGCAGGTGGCGCAGGATCCCTGGGGCAGTGGGCGGGCCGGCCCTGTGTTTTTCCCCTGGGTTTCCCACTGTGCAAAAGGAAGGATGCTGGGGTTCACAGGGGCCAGAGATCCTGGGAGCCTGAGGTCCAAGCCTGCTCAGAATGTGGGAAGTTATTGCTGGTGAACTCAAATATCTGGTAACTTTTTGGGGTCCCCTCCAGGAAGGTGCCACCAGGGTCCTGGGGTCCATAGCTTGTCTCAGCACCTTGAGCCCAGGGAAAAGATGCTGCATGGTGCCCTAACCAAGGGGCAATGGGACTCAACAGGTGGAGAGGAGTAAGGAGGGAGTTGGCCTGCAGCCTCTCCTGCATGGGGTGGAGGTGGGGCAGGGAGAGGGACATGGTAGCAAGGAATATCCCTCCCCTCTGTCACATAGGCCAGAATCCCCACTGAGGGGGGCCAAACTTGCTTGGGAAAGGTAAGGGAGAGAAGAGGGGTATTTTCATGCCTCCACCTTTGCTACACTCTTCCTCTCTCTCAAATGTCCTCTCCTCTATTGTCCCCATTATTGTCTGGCAAGTCTTTGTCATTCTTCAAGACACTGCTCAAATGTCACCTAGTCCATGGAGTCTTCCCTGACTGGCAGAATGAGTGGTCCCTTCTGTGAGCTTCCAGGAACTCCTGGCTCTTTGATGTCTGACCTTCACCTTGATTGGGGACTCCCTGAGGGCAGGCGTGCTGCAGCTCTGGTGCTCGGCATCTGAGCTGGGGTCACAGCAGGCCCTGGTGTCTGCTGAATGAATGAGGGTGGGTGGCCAGGTGAGTGAGTGCTATAGGCTCTAGGGGAGGCTAAGACCCTGGCCTAGCCTCAAGTGACTGACCAGCAGCCCAGGCCTCAGCCTGGAGGGTTCCTGGCCCCATTCTCACCCCTGCTGTGCCCCCATCTCTAAGGGGTGGGGACTTCCCCAGGGGTACCCATGACTCCTCTAAAACCCACCTCCAACTCCCCTAGCCACTACTGGTACAGGAGGTCTGGAGAGCAAAGTGTACTGCAGCAACCAGGCCTGGGGTGGGGAGGGGCCAGGTACACGCAGTCAGAGGTTGTCATACATGCGCAGCGTCTTCTCCAGCTGCTGCGCTACCCGCTGGTAGAAAAGGATCTGCTGGCGCAGGTAGTTCTGCATCATGTGCTTGAAGTCGAGCTCGCGGCGCTGGTGGAAGTGGTTCATCTCGGCCTGCAGGGCAAAGCCCACCACGCGGCAGCGCCTGCGAATGCCATCTGCCTCGTCCTGAGCCATGCGGCCCTCGTCACTCATGCGTTGGCTCTCTTTCACCTTGGCGAAGGCACCTGGCACAGGTAGAGTGGAGGACAAGGGAGGTTAGGGCTCTAGTCTCCCCAATTTGCTCTCTAAACCCTCCACAAGCCCCCTCAAGGGCAGCCAACACCCTCATCAAGCTCAACTCAGACCTCGCTCCTGGACTCCAGACCCACACTCCAGCCACCTATGGCACTGCCAGCAGCCTACACCCCACCAGTCACAGCCCTGCTAGCTGTATTTATTTCCAGGACCAGCCTGTCCCTACCCACCACAGGCCTCAGCATCTCTGATACTGGCTCCTAATTCAGCTGAGACATTACCTCCTCCAGGAACCCTCCCTGAGCCCCCACTGCATTAGGTGCCTCCCAATGCTCTGAGGTGCCTTGGACTTCCCTCTACCACAGCTCTTACCACCCTGTGGTTTCTCTGACTGCCTCCCTTGGGCCTTTGAGCTCAATGTCTCTAGCACCCAGAAGAAGGCCTGCCCACAGCAGACCCTGATACATCTCTGCTGAACTGATTCAAACTGTTCCCCAATGGACTGCTGCAACAGTCCCCCAAGGGTCTCCCACCTCAGTTCCAGCCCCTGAGAGGCTCTCCACAGCACCTGAAGAGCAGCCAAACTGGGCACCCATGGCTCCAAGCCTTCCCTAGCTCCCTATTGCCTACAGATCAAGGTTTCCACCCATGTGCCTGACCCGTGAGGCCCTCTGGATGTTGGCCATGCACCCATTCCACAGTGACCCCAGGCTCTTTCCTACCTTCATATCTCTGCCTGCTGGATCCCAATGCATAATTCAAGGCCCTGATCAGGTGCCACTTCTACACTAGAGACTCCCCCAGCACCCCCCGGCAGAATGCCTCTCCTATCTCTCCTCTCCTGAGCTCTCCCCAACCCCATCACACTGCTGATTCTAAAATAGCACCTCAAAGGCCACCTGGAGTTTTCCTTTGTATGTGTCTCCCCCACAGACAGGACCTGGCCCCTCCTCACTCCAGACTCCAGTGGACTAGAGGAGGCCATTGTAATAACCAGCTGACAGATGGGGGTGGGGGATGAACCTGGGCAGGGGACCCAATTTGGAAGAATCTGGATGAATCAACAAGCAGTTGGTGAGTGAATCTCAGTTCTGAATTAACAGGAACTTGACTAAGCCACACTGAAGGCAGTAGGGCTGCTGCTGGCAGGAGGCAGTTGGCCTGTGCCTGGCACTCGCTCCTCCCAGGGCTGTAGGAATCTACGGTACAGAGAAGAGTCAGGAGGTGGGAAGGGTTGGCATGAAGGACAACACACTCGAGCACTTCAAAGCATCTCCTGCACACGAACAGCACGTTCATTATCCACACTCCCACTTCTCCTTTAAGGAGGTCTCTGAGGGCCTTCGAGATGTATTCTTTTTACTCTCACTCAAGTTGTCTGGTGCATTTATTGAGCATTTACTATCTTCCAGGCCAAGGCTCTATATGCTGGAATAACTCTGGATGCCTTCAGAAGAGGCAGTATCCATATTAGCTGGCAGGTGTGTGGCTAACTGGCTAAAAGTGGCACTTCAGACAGACCGACTCAAGTTTGGAGAATCTCCACGGCTGCTTACACACAGGACCCCAAAGAACTCTACAGTCCCCAGCTCCCAGCCTATTCAGTCCTTCCTCCACCTTCCCTGAATCACCTCTTACCTCCTGCTCCATTCTGATTGCCCAGGCCTGGGCAGCAGAAGACAGATCACCCCATGACCCAGGGTGAGGCCTGAATAAGAGCCTTCAGAGCTGGAGAGGCCCTACAGGCCAGCTGTCCAACCCCTATGCCACTTCCATCCCACTACTGTACAGGGGAAACTGAGGCCCCAAAGGAGAGAGACTTGTCTAGGGGTTCCCAGCTTCCTTCCTGCCCCAAAAGTGGGGATGCCTGGTCCAGAGGTATCCCTCCACAGTTGGAGAGTAGACACCACTTCTACTGCAAGGAGCCCAGGCTGGGTCCTCCAAGCATTTGTGTGGGGCCCCCAAACAATGGACTCGGGTATCTGAGAAGGTTCCAAGGGGTACAAAGGACCATAAGAAGGAAGGTAGAAAACAGCAGGACAAAGAAACTGGAGTTAAGCTTCAGCAAAAGGAACCTACTAGAAGAGAATACACTGAAATAGCCTGGATCCCACCTGCCTGAAAAAGTCTGGGTGCAGTGGGGGTGGACCTGCATTCAAGAGGGCTTTTCTTGCCCATGGTCTTGGAGGAAGGAAAGGCCCCTTTTGTCGATGAGGAGATTGAGGCCCAAATAATAGGAAGGAATCTATTGCAACTGCTAGGTATCCAGAGACAGACAGGAAGTCAGGGATGGGGGGCAAAGGCCACAAGGGTGGGGGGGAGGCAGAGGCCCCACCCTGCTCTCTGTCACCTCTCGACCCTGTGACTCAGATTTGGGGCCAGGACCAGCTAACACTAACATGCCCCAGAGATCTGCTGGAAGTCAGGGCTCAGGGCTCAAGCCTGTCCAGCATCCCCCCAGTCTTCCTCTTAGGACTCAACCTGAGCACTGAGGACCCAGGGGAGCCTCCTGCCCTGACAATTGTCCTGTGGGCTGGAGCCCAGGAACGGAGAAAGGAGGGTTGAAGCCTCAGAGATCCAGGGTCCCAGGCATATTCCCTAAGCTCCCACCTAATCCATCTTATCCCCATCTCTTGGAGGGCGTTACCACCACCCCAGGTTGGAGACAGGAGGTCTGAGTCCTAGTCCCAGCTGTGTCACCTCCAGCAAGCCACTGCTCTTGCCTGGGCTGCAGGTTTCCCCACTGTCAAATGGGACAGGTGGGACTAGATGTGATACTGATCACATTGGTACAATGCTTCAGAGTTTTCACATCCGTAAAATGGGATAATAAGAGCACTCGCCTTAGAGTATAGTTGAGGTTTAAATGAACTAATATGTATAAAGTATTTAGGGCTGATCGAGAATAAGAGCTCAAGATACTACGTGCAACTGAGTGAAAATGCTTTTCTGTCACAGCAAAAACCAGCTGTGGGTGGCTTGTGGCAATAGGATTCTCTTTGTTTACGGAAGCTGGGGAGGGGAGGTCAAGGAGGGGTTAGATGATGGCCCAGAATACAGAGGCTGGACCACTTGTCCCTCAGGTAAGAGCTTGGTCCTGCAAGAGCCACTTTGCCTTGGCCAACCTGTGAGTTCCACGGCCCTTCCGTGCACGCTCTGTGGTCCTGGGCCTGCCTCCAGCCCACCAGGGATGGCAGCTGAGTGAGTGCTAGAGGACCCAAGCCTCCCTCCCTCATCCTTCCCCTTCTGGCTCATCTACCCCAGGCACCCTTGGGGCACTCCTTTCCCCATCCGTCTGGCACAATAGAAACAGCCTGGGCTGTGGGGTCAGACACATCTGGCTCCAGTTCCTGCTCTGCATGTCATCCCACCCACTGTGCCTCATCTGTAGAATGGAGGGGACCGCACTGACCTCCCTGGCTTATGATGAGCCTTAGGACACAGCCTTGCCCTGGCTGGCTCTCAGGTAGGGACCACAGGACCCAGCTTGCCCTAGACAGTCACTGTTTCCCCTGTTGTCCCAGGGTAACTGTCCTAGGGCTCCTTGTCACCTCCAAACTGCCCTAGCATGGACAGTTAATTATAGGGTTGCCTTCTCTTAGGAGACCCGTGGACTGAGCTCCAGGGACTGGGCCAGCAGGCAGATGGGTTGGTGAGCCTCATGTCAGCGCCAACTGGGCTCAAAGTCCCATTTTACTAACGTGGACACCGAGGGGAGAAAACTCTTTCAAGCTCACCTCAGAGGCAATGTTTGTCCAAATCCTGGTTTCCTGATCCCACCTAGGCCTTCCATCTCCTTCCATCTATGGCCTCTCCCACACACTGGCCATCCATTTAGATGCTGGGACAGGCTGGACAGAATCCAGGGACCCAGGACCCAACTTTCCTGCTCTTTCCTCTGAGAAAAGGATCCACTCACAGGGCCACCATGGGACCTTCCCTTTGCCCCATGCCCAGTTCTGCCAGCCAGATTCCAAGCCCCTCTCCCTAACTTGCCCAACCACAGGCTTGGAAGTGGCAATGCAGAGCCCAGAACAAGGAGTAAGCCTAGAAGGGCTTGGCCCATTGGAGAGGGGTCCTCCGGGGGAGGAAAGGTGGGTCAGCCTCTGTCTGAGGTTGAATGTGTCACCCCAGAGGACTGTTGGCCCCTCACTCTTAGAAACACCTCCAGTGGAGACTCAGAAACGGCCTCTCGCAGCTCTGTCTCCCCACCCCAGGGTCAGAAAGGCCAGTCCGGCTTCACTCCCTCCTGCTTCAATGTGAGCCTGGGAGCCCTGGGTATGGCGCTGCCTTCTCGCCCCAGCTCTGCCCTGGGTGAGGGTCCCCAGGCACTGCACGGGGGCAGCTGTTTAATCCTCTGGCCCTGCTTCCCTCCTCCTGCTGCCCTCACAGCTGCCCCCACAGGAACGCGCCATCAAAGGAGCTGGTCGAACCAGCTTTCCCAGGCCCTAGCGCTGGCAGCAGCGCACGTGGCTCTACTTCCGCACAAGGAGACACTTGCCCCAGTGGGCCGGAGCCAGCCCCGGGCCACCTCCCCTACCCTATCCCTGCCCCAGAGCTCAGTCAGCACTAAGGTATCACTCTATCCTCGAAAAGACCCTCCCCAGGAGTCCCTTCCCCCACCCTCTTGAAGGGCTAAGAGCTCATGGTTCCACCCTCCCTTTTTCCACCCCCCGCAAAGCCCCAGTGTATAGTTGTATATCCTAGTTGTAAGTCATTCTAGTTCTTCTATGTGGGACGCCACCACAGAATGGCTTGATGAGCAGTGTGTAGGTCCATGCCAAGGATCTGAATTGGCGAACCCCAGGCTGCCAAAGCAGAATGTGTGAACTTAACCATTCGGTCACGGGGCCAGCCCCAAACCTCCCTTGTTTTATTGATCATAAAATTAAGGTCCAGAGAGGGAAAAGCACTTCCCAGAGACACACAGTAAATTAGGGGCAGAGCCAAGACTAGAACTCAGGCCTCTGGTCTCCTGAAGCTGAAAGAAGAGGCAAGAAGAAGGGGTATGTGGAGATGAGAAAAAAGGGCAGAGAAGAGAAGGAGGAAGAGAAAGTGAGGGGAGAAAGGAGGCTGGGAGCTGGAGAAGGTCTAGAAGTCAACCTCCTGCTAAAGGAGAGCAGGGCTGGTTTACTCCAGACTCTCCTGGGTACCGAGGTAAGGGGTGGGATTTGCTGTCCCCCAGACTCAGTCCAGAGGCCTGCCTCCAGGCCCCACCCAGAGGAAAACTCCCCACCAAGCCAGGCGTGACCTCAGGGCCTAGAGGCCAGGGAGCTAGCCCCACGCCCTGCAGACGTTCTTCCTGAGTTACCAAGCAGCCCCAGGGAGGACCACACCTCTCTCCTGACATCTGCCCTGCCTGTTGTCCCAGGACTGAGCCACCTGCCGGGTCAGCCCCTGACTCACTGCTGAGGCAAGACGACAAGTCAGGCTCGGGAAGGGGGAGTTGGATGGGTCATGTGGATAGTGCCCTGGACCCCTGGTTCCTCCCCCAGCCCAGCCCGGGTGCCCCTAGGTGACCCGGGATGAGTCACTTCCCTGGCAGTTCCTTGACAGCCCCACAGTAACAGACAGGGGCCCATCCTGTTCCTCTCCCATGGAGGGGGCCGTGAGAACTGAAAACATGGCTGGCCTTGGGAGGCAGCCAACAGGGATGTGTCCTTAGGGAGGTGCAGGAGGAACGGACATTCCCAGCTGGGCCATGGACTCCCTGTGCAACCACCCTTCTGTGAACACCAGCTTCTTCATCTGCAAAATGGGGACAGGGACCCTCCTGCACACAGATAGGGAGCTCACAGATAGGATATGCAGCGGTGAGACCAGGCTCCGAAGCTGCAAAGGCAGGGAGGGGAGCTTGTGAGGAGTGGGAAGACAGGCCACTCTCTGTGCTCTTTGTTATCTGGGTCTGTGTCCGTCTCCCTCATGAGCCTGTGGGCTCCTCAAGGGCAAGGCCTGGGCCCTGGTCATCTCCGTATTCCCAGACCCAATCTGATACCTTAAAGAGCTCAGTGCATGATGGGTAAATGAGTAAATGAGACAGAAACAGAGAACATTAACGAATGAATGAACAAACAGACAACAAGAAGGTAAACAGCAAGCTCCAAGAGGACAGGGACCAGACCCTCCACAATAATATCCCTGCACCTGCCACATAGGAGGTGCTCAACACACTTGTGGACTGAATGAATGAGACAGAGACAGAAAGACTAGATGAGCTGTCTCTTCTGTCTAGGCCATCCTCATATCCCCAGTGCCCAGCAGAGTGCAGACTCAGTAAGGGTCTCCTGCCTGCACTGGGTCTTACCTTTCTGCAGGTGGATGATGTCAGGGAAGTTGGAGAGCAGGCCCTGGTAGAGAGACAGTGTGTCAAGCATCTGGAAGAGGTCGTTCTTGGGCTGCTCAGCGAACATCTCACCAACGGCTTCATAGGTACGGCCCGTGTGAGAAATGGCACTGTTGAGGGCTTCAGAGCTAAAGGGGGGGTCCATCTGGAAGGCATGACTGATGGCCTGGAAGGCACTGCCAAGCTTCTGGAATTCCTTGCGGAAGCCCCCCACATGCTTGCGCACCAGCTCCGATGCTACAGTGCTGAGTTGCAGGACGCTGTCATCCATCTTCTTGCTGAAGGCCTTGAAGGTGTCCACACGGTCCTCCACATCCTGCAGGTCCTGGTGCTCTGTGGGGATCTGGAAGGTGAGCAGGAAGCTGGCACCCACCATCTCATCCTTCTCTGCCCGGCGTTTTCCCATCTTCCACTGCTTGTCATCCAGGCAGCTGAGGAAATGCTGGAAGCCCTCATACTGGGACAGCACAGGGTGGCTGGTCATGTGGTCCATCCAGAGGATGAGCCGCCGCTTCCGCTTCTCAATGAAGTCCTCCTCGAAGCGGCCTGTGGCCTGTTTCTCTGGCAGGTGGGGCACTGAGATGACAGTGAACTTGTGCAGAAGGCGGTTGTAGAGCCAGTCAAAGTGTTTGTAGCGCCGGTAGACAGGTGAGCCAGCATGGGTGGGTGTGAGCTTATAGGAGATGTAGCTTTTGATGCCCTTGAATTTGGTCTGTTTGGTGGGGTCTTCCACTGAGCAGGCGAATGGGTGGGGGTTGGCCTTCCACTGGGGCCCACGAGGGCCCATTTCAATGGAGTATGTCTCGGCAATCTTGGCCATCATGGGCACATCACCCAGGATGAAGGCCTCCACTCCAGAGCGCACAAAGCATGAGAAACGGTTGAGATTGCGCCCCACCACACTGCCTCGCTTGGCAGACGCCAGGCTGTCCTGCCGCTCCAGGGGTGGCTTCGGCCGGAAGGCCATGTGCTGGCTTGGGTAGGCACCAGGGTAGGAGAGGTTGAGTGGGGGGTGCCCGTTGGTGCCCAGCCCACCAGCCCGTGGCTCCTCCACCACTGTGCATCCATCATCCCAGTCATCCCAGTCATCATCATCATCTTCCTCAAAGCTGCCCTGGTTTGAGAGGAAGCCACTGCCCCCACCACTCCTGGAAGTGTTGGCCACACTGGAGCTGTCATACAAGCTTGCCTGGGTGCCCAGAGAACCTGCAAGGCTGCTGGAGTAGTTGGCATGGTTGGAGCTGGTGCCAGAACGGATGATCTCCACATAAGACGCGGGGAAGAGCCCTGTTTCACCACGGCTGTTCTGGCCCTGCAGCCAGCCATCCAGCGAGGTCTCACTGAAGATGACCAGGTCCTCATCCTGCTGGATGCTGATTTCCTCCTTGTTCTCGCTGCGGAAGTCATAGAGAGCTCGGCCTTTCAGTGCCATGGCTGGGCCAGTGGTAGAGAAAGATGAGGAGAGGGTCCTGCCCAGAAGTGGGGACACTCACTAGGGTGTCCAAGAATGCACTAACAACTCACGGCCTGCCACAGCAACTCAGTCTCAGCCCCTAAGGCGGGGTCTCAGCACCCACTGATGCTGTCCAGCCTCCTCTTCAAAACAATGTCCATGGCCCAGAAACTGCCCTTTCTGGTCTCCTAGCACACACATGTGAGCAGGGAGGGCTCATGTCCATAGTCTTCCTCCCTTCCCTTGGCAGTTCCTCACGGGGGAGTCTCTCTCTCCCCCTACTCCCAGAAGAAAAGTCAAGTGACTCGGAGAAACCAGCTCTGAGAGGGCAAAAATTCGACACTTTCCACTGGAATAATGTTCTAAAATAGAAGAGAATCACTCGGAAGCCACCGTTCCAGAAACCCCAGCAGCTCTGGCTCCCAGCTCCTTCTGGCTCCTCAGGCCTTGGGAGGCTCTCACATTCCTCTGCAAATCTGCTCTTTCCTCCTTCCTCCTCCTCCTCCTGGGCCACTGGGTTTTCAAAAATCCAGAAAATCCAAGGGGGGCAAGGAGAAAAGCAGCAGCCTTCTGAATCCAGTCCAAGAGTGGATGTGTCCGGCTTCACAACAAGCCAGGCCAGGAAAACAAGGACTGAGGCTTACACAACGAGCAGCCAATTCTTCAACCCCAGCGGCCCAGGCCGGCCCTGGGCCGGTTCGGGCGCCCTCTCCCCGCCTCCCAAGTGGCCAACCCCCACCCTGGTGAAGGAGAGGGCGCGACGAGCCGCTCAGGCGACTTTTGGCTACTAGCTGAGTGGCCTCTTTTGTTTGTCTAATTCCTCAGCAGTTTCTAAGCCTGAAGCTGACCCTGATCTGAGTCCAAGGACCCCCGTTCCAAGGTAACCCCCGCGGTAACCAGTCTCGGTGCGCGGGACCCCACCCCTGGCGTGCACGCACACAGTCAACAGGAGTTTGGAGAGTGAGCTCCCGCGAGCAGATGGTGCGCCCGGCCGTCTGTCCGTCCGTCCTCCTCTCGGCCCCGCGGGGTCTGGCCGGTGGGCGGCAGGCTGCGCCCCCAGCCCGCCTCCTCCTCCAGCACTCGCAGCCCCTCTGCGCAGCCAGCGAGAAACCAGCTCCAAAACAAAAAAAGGCGATTCCGGGAGGTGGCGTCCCGAGGAAGGAGGGAATAGCCGAGGGGGGAGGTGAGGGGTGGGGAGAAGGAGGGAGGGAGGAGAATCAGGCTGGGGAATTGGGCAAACTCCACAGCACTTCCGTGTATCCCGGCTGGGCAGGGACGGCCGGCTCCGCCCTCCCGCCTATTCCTGGTTTCTTTCCTTCTGGCCTTCGCCGTCACTCGCTTGAGCTGAGATTGGAATGCATGAGGGAGGAGACGACCCTGGAACTAGGGGGCTGCGGGCCTCCAGGATCAGTTCCTAGGGCGGCCGCACCCCCGAATCCGTCTGTCCTCGCGGGGAGACACCTCTCGCCCGGAGGGGCCTGAGCGCCGCGCGGGGGAGCTCGCCAGCTGCCGCCGCCTCGCCTCCTGGACTCCGTCACCCTCCTGCCTTTTCCGTGACGCAAGTGGAGGAAAACTCCGAAAGTTTGCGAAGCGTGGGGCTACCAGGAGGGCTCCGGAGCCGGGACCCCGGAGAGGGGGTTGAGGAAGGGTGCGTGGAGAGCCGCAGACGTCCCCTTACCTCTCACCTGCTCCCCACCGCCGCCCCGGCGTGGTGCAGCCTGGGGATTGTTCTCTGGAGGGGGCCCCAGAGCCAGCTGCACCGTCACCGAAGAAGCCTGAGTGGCTTCTTCGCTGCAGGTCCTAATACCCTAGCCAGAGAGGGCCAGGAGCACCCCTGCCCTGGGCGACTTCCTAGAGGAGGAAGGACAAGACCCTACATCTGTAGCAGCAGGGAACAAGCTCTCAGGCACAATCCAGTTCCCTCTTGCTTTGCGCGGCGCGGGGACACTGGATGTTCTGTCTTTGCCAGCAGCAGCGGGAGAGGGGTGGTGGGGGTAGGCTTCTGGGAAGAGGCAAGGGGATTTGACCCTTGGTCAGCTCATTCAGAATACTGGGCACTAACTCAGGCACTATGCTGGGCACTGGGGCTTACAGCACAACAAGGCAGTCAGGGTTCCTGCCATGGAGGGTTTACAATCCACCCTCGTGTCCTTGATTCATCCATTCTGTCTTTATTCAATCATGCATTCAAGGAAACATTACCTGAGTAACTATTCCATACCAGACCCCTAGGCTACAAAGATAAGTAAGAAAGTATCCTCCCAGCAGCTCAGATGTATTGTGACTAGTAAACAGATGCTCCCCGCTCTGTGTGACCAGTATCATGAAATGTGAATGGGAGGGCACTGAGCCCAGCCTGGGTGGAGCAAGGATGAAGAAAGGCTTCCTGGAGGAGGTGCCTAAGGTGAGGCAAAGGTTTCAGCCACTACTCTCCTTCCTGGCTGTGCCCTGGTGCCTTGCCTACCTACCCCCTCCAGCCAGAACTTCCTTCCCTCTCATTCTCACTCTTCCCACTTGTTGCAGATTAACTGGCACAAGGTAGCGCTGCTAAAGGTGTGCACCCTCGGCTATTCTGAGGGGTGTGAACTGCAGGCCTCAGGCTCCAAACCCAACTTCATTAGTGCAGTGAGTAGATTCTACTTCCTATGCAGGGCTGGCATTTGAACAGAATAAAGGCTTTTATGTAGCCCAAACCTCGGAAGTCCAGGTATTAATTTGCACAGAGAAATACAACTGTGAGGCAGACCTGAATTTTTGCATCAACAGGTCAAGGCAGTTTGGGCTGCTCCTTGGGAAGCCCAGTTACCAGGTTAGCCCAGTGAACTTGGAACTGCCAGGATGGGAAGAGGGGACGGTATGACAAGTCTCTCAGTCAAGAAACCTTGAGATCTCGTCCTCTGCCATGGGGCAGCCTTGATTCTAAGGATTCAGTTCAGCCTAGTATCTCTGTGACCAGAGTCTGAATATGTTTCCCCAGCTGCTTTTGGGATGCCCCTTTTCTGTGATCTCTTTCTGTTCACAGAGCCTCTCTCCAGACTGCGTTTGGCAATAGCAACTACTTCTTTGGTGTTTGCTGAGTGCTAGACACTGTTGTAACCATTTTACCTCCACTACCTCAATACAGTTGATGGGATTTCTGCTCACCCAACTGGGGTCCTAGTCTAGCCCTACTCCCCTAAGGAGCCCACAGCCACCACACTGATGGTCTTTAGTTGTTTCCCGAACACTTGGGTCACACGTTTACAGATCAACCATCCTGGATTTACTTCCACATCTGTGCTGGGTGGGTTTTTCTAACTCTCAGGGGCCACCCTTATTTCCAGGTTCTTGGGGGAAACTCACTCTCCAGCCTGACAGAGATTTCCAGAACCTGTATCTTCCATTCCCTCCCTTCCAGGGACCCTCAAGCCTAGGGGTAATGGAACCCCTGGTCACTAGTCTTAGGAAATTGCACTAATCTTTGTGGTTTCCCTACACCCTGCCCATTTCTTTGGAAAAAGTCCCTTTATTAAATTCTCCTCACATTATTTTAATTGGAGTGTGTTCTCTTTCCTGCTTGACCCTGATTTGTGCACAGAAAACAGCATCCACCCCCTATCCAGGCATCTACCTTTCCTCCTTTAGGAAAGAAGTCAGCAAGGGAGATCTGTGGCCAGTGGCTTCCAGACTGACCCCGCTGGTGGCAGCATGGAGGACAGTGGACTATTACTGTAGTAATGCAGACAAGAGATGATGAGAGGTAGGGCAGGGTTAATGGGCTAGAGAGAGGTAAATCTGGGAGTTTATGAAGGTAGAATTGACAGAAATGGCAACCAACAAGAGGTGGGTATTGAGGAAAGAGTGAATTCACATCTTTAAAAAATAGATTCTCAACTCTACTCCCCCTACCAGCTACTGCCTCATTTCTCTGCTTGCCTTTGCAGCAAAATTCCTCAAAATAGTCATCTATACTAGCTGGCTGCAATTTCTTTCCTCTCTTTCTCTTCTTAAACCCCTCCAGCCAGTCTTCCACCCTCACATTCCACTGAAACTATTCTTGTCAAGATCATCAGTAACCTGTTATTCTCAGTCCTCCTCTTACTCAACCTCAGTAGCATTTGACCAGGTTGATTGCTCTTTCTTCCTGGATACACTTTCTTCACTTGCACTGGGGAGACCATAATCTCCTGGTCTCCCTCTACCTCGCTCATCCTCTTCTCTCCAATAATTCTTAACAGTAGAGTGACTACAGAAGAGTGGTCTTCTTGTCTTCTCCATCCATATTCACTCCTTTGATGATCTCACACAGGTACCATCTATCTGCCAATAAGTCCCCCCCCTACTCTTTTTTTTAAATCTCTAGCCCAAATCTTTCTCTAAAATTCCAGACTCACATATCTTTCTCCTTGACCTCTCCCCTCGGATGTCTAATACACATCTCCAGCCCAACATGTCCAAAACTGAATTTCTGATTTTGCCCCCCAAACTTGGCAGCCTTCCCCATCTCAGGTGATGAGTACTTTCTTCCACTTGCTTGGGCCAAAAATTGGAGCCATCCCTGACTCTTCTCATCATCCTGGGACTCCTCTCTCGTTGGCACCTCACTACTGCTCTTCTGGTCCCAGCCACCATCTTACTCGCCTGATCACTGCACCAGCTTCCTAATGATCTCTGTGTTTCCACCCCTGCCTCCTGACAGTCTATTTTCAACACAGGAGTCAGAGTGATCCTCTTAAAACATAAGTTAGATGGCAGTCCTTTGCTCAAAATGCTTCAATGTCCTCATATCATTCAACAACAACAAAAAAAAACCAAAGTCCTTACAAGGGCCTATGAACCTCTGTTATCTGAGCAGCCTTTCCTCCCCTCCTAGCCCACTCTGCTCCAGCCAAGATGGTTTTGTTACTCCTCTTCTGACATGCCACATTCCTGTCTTAAGGCATTTGCATTGTTTCCTCTTCCTGAAATGCTCTTCCCCTACATTGCTAAACCCCTATAAAATATCACCTTCTCAATAAGACCTATCCTGAGATGCCCTACTTAAAATTACAGCCCATCCTCGCCCCAAGCTCTCCTATATCCTGCTCAGTTTTGTTTCATAACTTATCACCTGCTAACACGTATAATTTACTTATTATGTTTATGGTCCAGGGAGAAGGAAGTTAACCAAGAGTCCTGCTGCAGACATATTGAGCAAAGGCTGAGGATGGAAGGGAGCGAGGCTGGCAGAATATGAAGGGTGGGGATGAAGTACAACTGGGAGATGATATTTGCACCATAGATAACTCGTTAAGGATTAAGATCCAGAATATATAAAGAACATCTTCAAATCCTTTCGAAACAAAAGAAAATAATCTGTTGGGGGCCGGCCTGGTGGCACAGCGGTTAAGTGTGCACGTTCCACTTTGGTGGCCCGGGGTTCGCTGGTTTGGATCCCGGGTGCAGACATGGCACCACTTGGCAAGCCATGCTGTGGCAGGCGTCCCACATATAAAGTGGAGGAAGATGGGCACAGATGTTAGCTCAGGGCCAGTATTCCTCAGCAAAAAGAGGAGGATTGGCAGCAGTTAGCTGAGGGCTAATCTTCCTCAAAAAAAAGAAAAGAATCTGTGTTAGTTTCCTATTGCAGCTGTAATAACTTACCACAAACTTAGTGGCTTAAAATAACACAAATTCATTATATTACACTACTGGAGACCAGAAATCCAAACTGGATTTCACTGGGCGAAAATCAAGTTGTCAGCTGGGGCTGTGCTCCTTCTGGAGGCTCTAGGTAAAAATCCATTTCCTTGCCTTTTCCAGCTTCAAGAGGCTGCCCACGTTCCTCTGCTCTTGGCCACCTTTCATCCTGAAAGCCAGCAATCACATCACTGGGACTTCTGCTTGAATCATCACCTCTCCTCTGACTCTTCCACTCACCTCTTTCACTTACAAGGACTCTCGTGGTGGTGGGCCCTGTGGCTGAATAGTTAAAGTTCCACAAACTCCACTCTGGCACCCAGGTTTGCAGGTTCGGATCCCAGGTGTGGACCCACTCCACTCATCAGGACGCATCCCACATATAAAAAAGTAGGCACAGATGTTAGCTCAGGGCAAATCTTCCTCATACACACAAAAAGGACTCTTGTGATTATATGGGATCCACCCAGATAATCCAGGATAATCTTACCATCTCAAAATTCTTAATTTAGTCTTATCTGCAAAATCCCTTTTGTCATCTGAGGTAATATATTCACAAGCTCTGGGTGGACATCTTTGGGGAACCATTATTCTACTTACCACACAATCCAATAGAAAAATAGACAAAAGACATGAGGCATTTCATAGAGGAGGAAACACATGCAAAATTTTTATTCATCAGGGAAATGCAAATTAAAATCACAATGAAATACCATCACACATTCACCAGATTGGCAAACATTTCAAAAAACTAACAACCAAGTGTTAGTGAGAATAAGAAGCAAAGGGAACACTCATGTGCTGCCAAAGGGGTATAAATTGGTATGAGCCCTTTGGGAGACAATTTGGCAAGATCTAGTAAGGTAGAACATGCACATACTTTAAAACTCAGCAATTCTACCCCAAGATATATACTCGAAACTACTGCATATGTGCAACAGGAGACCTACAATAATGTTAACAGAAGCACTGCTAAAAACAGTCCCTTCAAAAAATTCCAATAGGAAAATAGATTAATAAATTGTATAGAGCTAAACAATGGAATGTTATGCAGCAGTGAAAAAAAAAAAAAGGCAACTACAGCTACATACAGTTAACTCCATATGGTGCGATGTCTTCTAAGCAACACTTCTCAAATGTCAGTGTGCATACACTTTACCTGGGGATCTTGTTAAATGCAGATTCTGATTCTGTAGGCCAGGAACGGCAATTGAAATTCTGCATTTCCAACATGTTCTCTGATCCACGGGCTACACTTTGAGTAAGAAGGTTCTCTATATATTTAGGGACGTATGTATAGTGATAAAATTATTTTTCTCTTTAAATAAAAGGTAAAAATAGACACAAAATTCAGGAGGATAAACACTTTACCTCTGGCTAGGTGAGTGGCTGGAATAGGTAGATGAATTGGTTCTGGTTATATTTTCTTAAACTGGCTGTTGGGTTCATAAGCATTCATTATACTTTATAAATTAGGTATCTTACATATATTATTTTCCATATATCAAGTATATTTAAAAAAATGAAAAGCACACAAAAATAAGATGATCAGCAAAGAAGCTAGGTGGCGTCAAAGGCTTGGACAAATAAAGAGGTTAGTCCTACAGCGTTACACTCAGGTATAATTTAGGGATATAACTCGCTGAAACAGCGTTAAATTTAATTCAGTACTCAAACCAGAAATCCACTCTGTCAGGCTAATTCGTCTGAGCCCAGACTAAAGGGTCAGGACTTGTACTTACTATCCAAGTTTCTTAAACTTGCTGGGTTTTATGAATCACGGGGCATTCTCGTCAACAATACAGATTCCCAGGTGGTTCCCGTGGAGATCTCGATTCTGTGCGTGTGGGAAGCGGCCCGAGAATCAGTATTTCATATGTCCGGGGACGCCCAGCTCCGCTAGGCAGGGAAAAACCGCTGCGCCGGCCAGCCGGGTGAAGGACCTGGCGCTGGAGAAAGGCGGGGCTACCCTAGTCAGCCCCCGGGGCGGCCGGCTCTGGGAAGCTCCCCACGAGGTGGGAGGAACCCAACGGTGAGTTAGCACAGTAAACCCAATCAAACAAGCGCGGCGGTCACCCCTCTCCCCAGCAAGTGGCCTCTTTAGCTTTTAGGGGAGGCTCTCCTGAGAGTCCCTAAAAGGGGGAAGTCTGAATGAGAGGAAATGATTACCGCACTCGGGCACGCGTTCTCGGCAACTTAAACCCGCGCAGACTCACCTCGGGACCCGGGACCCGCCCCGCCCCTAGCCTCGCCTCTCTCGGGTGCTTTTTCCTCCCTCCCTCCGCGAACAGGAAGCAGAGGAGAAACGCTAGACGCAGATACGGAGGCGTGCCCTACCCTGACCAATGGAAGTCGACGGCAGGGTCTTGAGTCTTTCCGTCATTGGCCAGGAGCCCGAGGGCGGCCCGGTCTTCGCGCGCCGAGGCGGAAGTCGCGCCGGCGGGGGTACGCGCGTTCAGCCTTGAGTTCTGCCGTTTCGGCGGCCGCCATCATGGTGCGGAAGCTTAAGTTCCACGAGCAGAAGCTGCTGAAGCAGGTGGACTTCCTGAACTGGGAGGTCACCGACCACAACCTGCACGAGCTGCGCGTGTTGCGGCGTTACCGGCTGCAGCGGCGCGAGGACTACACGCGCTACAACCAACTGAGCCGCGCTGTGCGCGAGCTGGCGCGGCGCCTGCGCGACCTGCCCGAGCGCGATCCGTTTCGCGTGCGCGCCTCGGCCGCGCTGCTGGATAAACTGTATGCTCTCGGCCTGGTGCCCACGCGCGGCTCGCTCGAGCTCTGCGATTTCGTCACAGCTTCGTCCTTCTGCCGCCGCCGCCTGCCTACCGTTCTCCTTAAGCTGCGCATGGCGCAGCATCTCCAGGCCGCCGTGGCCTTCGTAGAGCAGGGCCACGTGCGCGTGGGCCCCGACGTGGTCACTGACCCCGCCTTCCTTGTCACGCGCAGCATGGAGGACTTTGTCACCTGGGTCGACTCGTCCAAGATCAAGCGGCACGTGCTGGAGTACAATGAGGAGCGCGATGACTTCGATCTGGAGGCCTAGCGGTCTTCCCCCGCCACGGCTGGATTTTATGCATGAAGAAGTTGAGATCTGAAGCTTGAGGTTTTCTGGTGGCGCTCTCCTTAGGATTGTGTAAGCCAGTCGTCAGTTCTTAAGAACTTGGCTCCTCAGCTACAGGCTACGCACAGAGGGTACGCCCCTGTATTCCACGAAATTTTCTTAGGCCTTGGACTGTTGATAATTGAATGACTGCCTTAAAAGATGATGGGAGGCGGTTTTGTGCTGCACTGGGGAATTGTTAGGGTCTTGTGCCTGAAACATTGTAGTGTAAAAGCAAGAACTTTGTTCCCCCCACCCCCAGCTTTTCCTTTATTTTGTAGCAGAACAGTTTGGTTCAATGTGTTTAATTCGAGTTCTTGCTCCTGATCATGATTAAGCTGTGTACAGATGGGGAGAATTTGGTTTCAAGTTTTCATAAAATGGGTGAGATTTTAGTGTTCAGGGTCCCCTTCGTTTAAAGGAATGCTTTCCTCATGCCAATAAATGGGCCAACTGCTTTGTAAGTGTAGATTTTTGTCTGTCTGGTTTTCTCAGAGTCACATCTATAAGTCTCCTTGGTTCAGAAATCCAGAGAAGAGAAATAGGATCAGCAGCCACCTGCCTGTGGATGAGGGCTGCCACAGGGGCCGCGTGTGGAGGTTACAGGATGTTGTACAGAGCTGGGCAGATTTGTCAGTTTACCAGTCCCTTCCTTGGAATGAGTGTTTTGGCAGAGCTCTTCCCCACAGGACTTCCTGTTGACATTCCAGACCCAGGAATACAACGTTAGAGGGCTGAAGTGTTTGCTTGCCTAAGGAAATAATCACCCTGTAGCTTGGCCATCTAGCGGTTAGATGTTTTTAGGACTGGTAGAGAATTGGGAGGGAGAGTAGGGTGGCTACCTGGTTTTACCCACGATGTCTACAAGGAGAATAAATAGAATGCCAGGACCACTGGATTGACTTTTACATGTATCTTCTCCATTTCCCCAGGTGTAAGGTAGCATTTGGTGAAGAAGCAGCAAAGGAAGGAAAGGTGACACGGGCTGATGATAATAGCAAGTGCTTCTACTGTATGTCAGGCATAGTTGTAAGTGCGTTGCATATCTTAAGCCATTTAATTCAACAATCCTATGAAGTAGGAAATCCAATTATTCTCTGCTTTTTAGATGAAGGAACTGAGGCAGAGATGAGTCAAACTACCCAAGACTGCATAGCCAATAAGTGGTGGAGCTGGAATTATGCTCCCTTTAAGAGACTGTCTTAACTTTGACACACCCAGCACTTGGGCTGTGTCAGAGTTTAGAGAAAGTCCTTAAATTTGAGTTTCCAAACTAGCAGAGAAGCAGCAGCACTAGGCAATGTGATTGGCCCCCAACAGGATGCTGTATAAAGGTTTGAGCAAGGAGCAGGCATTGAGCTGCCAAGGCTTGACTGAAAATGTGAGGCCCTGCCTGTGTTAGGCTGCCATTTACCCTTCCCCAAAACCCTGCAAGGTAGGTGGTGGTATCCACACCTTTTCAGTTTGGGAAACAGAATTGGGAGAAGAATTTGTCCAAGGCTGGAGTTCAAGTCCAGGCCCCAGAGGCCATGTTCCTTTCAGTGCCACACCTTTAAACCAGAAGGAGAGAGAACCCTACTTCTCAGCTCTGGTGGCCGTGTACAGCAACCTCTGCCCTTTGAGGAGTGTTCTCAGGGCTCCTTGGATTGGGGATCTCATGGAGAGAGAATTTAGTGGCTCTAAAAGGCAGAACCCCTCCGTAGCCCTCTTGCTCCCACCATACCCCACAGGGCAAGGCAGGTAGATTGGCCCCTGTGGAGTAGTTGGAATCTGCACCTATGACCTAAGCAGATACAACCTCAAAATTCTCTTGAAGGAAGTGGGGTTTAAAAACTTAGGAATAGGGCCTGGCTCCGTGGCCGAGTAGTTAAGTTCGCGCTCTCCGCTGCGGCGGCCCAGGTTTTGGATCCTGGGCGCGGACATGGCACCGCTCGTCAGGCCACGTTGAGGCGACGTCCCACATCCCACAACCAGAAGGACCTGCAACTAAGATATACAACTATGTACGGGGGTTTTGGGAAGATAAAGCAGGAGAAAAAAAAGAAAGAAAGAAAGAGCACCTTTAAAAACATAAAAAATAAATAAAATAAAAATAAAAACTTAGGAATAAAATACAAGATTCTTTAGAAAAGTCTTTCTTATTTCTCCCCTTTTGGGGAAGATGTGAAAGAAATGACTTTCTGCTTCCTATAACCAGAAACTTTGGGTTTAAAAAATATATATATATACAAGACAAGTGATTCAGAGTGTGGACTTGGGTGCCAGACTGCCTGGTCTGAATCCGGGCTTCCATGGTAAATTAGCTGTGTAATATTGAGTATTTACTTAGCCTCTCTGTGCTTCCATTTTCCTGATCACAAATATGTGGTAATATGGAGTAGGGGGAAAGAATGGGGAATTATTTATTAAGGAGTGCAGAGTTTCTGGTTGGGGCAATGAAAAATTTTGGAAATAGGTAATGGTGATGGTTGTACAATATTGTGAATGTGACTAAAATGGAAAATTTTCTGATTCTACCACAATTTTTAAAAAATAAAAAAAGCAGTGGGCAATAATAGTCCTGACATTAAATATTTCAGAGAGAATTAAATGTTTTAATTCCTACAAAGTGCTTAGAGGAGCTCTTGGCATGTGGTTAAGAATTTAAAGCTTAACCCCTCTCTCTTTTCCCTCCCCAGGCTATTATACCAAAAAAGCCTAGTGGATTAAAAGATAGGTGTATGGGGCTGGCCCGGTGGCGCAGCAGTTAAGTTCGTACATTGCACTTCTCGGTGGCCCGGGGTTTGCTGGTTCGGATCCTGGGTGCAGACATGGCACCACCTGGCAAAAGCCATGCTGTGGTAGGTGTCCCACATATAAAGTAGAGGAAGATGGGCATGGATGTTAGCTTAGGGCCAGTCTTCCTCAGCAAAAAGAGGAGGATTGGCAGTAGTTAGCTCAGGGCTAATCTTCCTCAAAAAAAAAGAAAAAGGTGTACACAGTTGGCAGGACAGCAAGTTGGTACAACCTCTCAGGAGAGCAGTTTTATCATATGTATCAAGAACTTTAAAAATGTACGTTATAGGGGCTGGCCCCGTGGCCAAGTGGTTAAGTTCCCGCGCTCCGCTGCAGGCAGCCCAGTGTTTCGTTGGTTCGAATCCTGGGCGCGGACATGGCACTGCTCATCAATCCACGCTGAGGAAGCATCCCACATGCCACAACTAGGTGGACCCACAACGAAGAATATACAACTATGTAACGGCGGGGGGCTTTGGGGAGAAAAAGGAAAAAAATAAAATCTTTAAAAAAAAAAAATGTATGTTATATACTCTCTGATGTAGAAATGTCACTTTCAAGAATTTAGCATAAGTAAATTATAGATATTTGCAAAAAATAATTATAGGAATCTTCATCACAGTGTTTATAATGGAGAATAATAGGAAAAAGTTGAAATTGTGTCCCAAGGGGACTGGTTAAATTATTGGATATCCTTATGATGAAACACAACCACTAAAAATTATTGCAGCAAGATATTTAAAGACTAAAAAGAGTTAACACTTAAATAGAACATAAAATGGCACCAATAGTATCCCATTTTTCTGAAGAAAACTGTAGGCATAGAAAAAATAATGGGTATAATATTGTCTCTGTGCAGTAGTATTCTTTCTCTTTGTGCTTTTCAGTATTTTCCAACTTTTCTATGAAGACCATGTATTGCAATAAGATAAATATTATAATTTTGTGTGATCTCAATCTGAAGCTTATACACATGGCAAGTTTTGGGAAAAGAAATATTTAGCTTTAAAAAGCGGTGTCCTTAATCAAAGAGCAATTGAAATGCTCTCATTAAAAGAGAAAAGGAGGGGCCGGCCCAGTGGTATATGGTTAAGTTCGTGTGCTCCACTTCGGTGGCCCAGGGTTCGGGGGTTCTGATCCTGGGCATGGACCTACGCACTACTTGTCAAGCCATGCTGTGGCAGCTCCCCACGTACAAAATAGCCCCCATACAAAATAGACAAAGATGGACACAGATGTTAGCTCAGGGCCAATCTTCCTCAGCCAAAAAAAATACCCAAAGATTGAGACTAAATTGGCTGCCCTCAGAAAGAGGCCTGGACAAATAGTCCAGTGAACTGAGAATCATTTCTTCCCCAAATTCAGTAAGTCAAAGAAAGGTCAGCTTTCCTCAGCCTCTGGAAGCCTGGTGTGCCTTCACAATTAGGCCAGCTTCCTAGAAGGGTTAAGTGTATAGATAAGCAAAATAAAAGTTTTATGAAACTGATGCCTTCTAATAATTTATATTCCTTTTATTACTATTTTTTATGCTGGTCCCAACCCACTAAATAAATTTTCAGTCCACTAATGGGTTGAAATCTTTTGCTGAAGTTTCAAAGTTGAAGTTTGAAAAAGTGCCCTTGATGGCACTTCAGCCTTTTCCGAATTAAATTAGCATTTTAACTTGGAATATTTAAGAAATTGCTGTTCCCAGCTGTTGAGTCAGAACGTTGGCTCCATCTTTTATTAACTATTTGACCTCAAATAAGCTACCTTCCACCTCAGAGCCTGTTTGTCATCTGTGAAATAGGGATAATAATGTGAAAATTAAATGAGACCAGGCACCCACACAAACTTGGCAGCATGTTTTAACTCAGAAAGCACTCAATAAGTGTTTATCGAAAACAAAACCAAACCGAGCTTTGTGAGACCAGTGCTTCTGTGTGGGCATGCTTGGAAAGTAGAGATCAGCTGATGGAGCCCTGACTCCTCAGCATGGCATTCCAGGGCCTCCAGGATCCTGCCTAACTCCGTACCTCATCTCTAGCTACCTTCACTCTTCATCCTCACGTCCCTTCATCTCCCAGCCTGGACCGTCTGCCCGTGCTTTGGCAAACTTCAGCCCTGGCATTGTCTCCCTCTTCTGTGAAATCTTTCTTGCTCTCTGTGACATGGCATTCTATACCTGCCACCTTATAAAACATGTCTTGTGAGTCTGTGACTATTTGCCTCACTCCCGAAGCTGTGAGCTCCCCCAGCACCGGGGCCTAGAGACCATGGCTGACTTATCTTGTGACTTGCAGGGTGCCTGGTTCATTTTTTCAGTCAGTCACCTAATGTTTATGGAGTGCTCACTATGTGCCTGGTGCTTGACACACAGCAGTGAACACAATAGACATGGTTCTGGACTTCTTGTAACTTTCTGTCAAAGAAGTGAGAAACTTTAAGAGAGTCACATAAATAAGATATAAGTTATAGTAAATACTTGGAAGTGAAATGCAGAGTGGTATAAGCACAGGGGGATCTACTGTAGCTGAGAAAGTGACGTTTGAAATGGTATCTGAGAGATTAACTAGGCAAAGTAGATTCAGACATCAGGGCAAACCTGGAGAAAGTGAGATTTAAGACCTGAGAATGAACATGAATCAAGTAGAAAGTAGGGACAGAACACACCAGGCAGAAAAAACAATGTGTAAGAGCCCTGAGTTAGGAAAG